TTTTAATGGTTTCTCTGTTACTACGGTTTCTTTCATTGTAGTTCTACTCTAATTTTTCCCTGTCATTCAGATGACTATTTGATGAATTGAGTAGTTTTTTTGGTCCTTCGATGCATTTCTTAGGGACTCTGATGGAATGTGGGATGAATTTTTGTTGAAGCTAATACTATACAAGTTGTGCCATGAATTGTTATTTGAATGTGATTTTCACAAATAAATTTATTATTGGAATTGAGATTGTGTTCTCTAATAAGGTCTTTTCCATGCTTGAACTTAATTTTGATTTCGTTGCATTTATGATCTTGTAAAGCGTACTTAATTTCAATTGATATTATTAGAATAGATGTCATATTTTTATTTTTGCTGTCAATTTTTATATGTCATCGTAATATTTATGATGGTAATCTTTGATGAAAAACAGTTTGGGCAGACCTAGGGTAGTGCAAAAGCTTAAACTTTTTGCTCTTGGTTATTTCCTTCAAAAAATCTCTTTTACTTAGTGATTTTAGATAGTTTTTTAAAGGAAGAGGACAACAACAACTGCTACATTTTTTCCCGCATGAGGCAGCTGCATTTTTATTGCCTATTTCGGGACTGTTTTGAGGCTGAGTTGGTGGTCTGTTTAAGGGTGAAGCAGGTTGGTTTTAGACTAGATTCTCAGGTGTTTTTGGACAATTTTCATGAAGTTTTTTGGGGTGGAGATGAAGCTGGTTTTTGGCTGCATTTTTAAGCCATTTTTGGAGTGAATTTGGTGATGTTTTCGACTGCTTTCAGCTGGATTTTGTGACCTTTTCTTGGCTGTTTTTGGGCAATCGTTTGGGCAAGTTTGACAGTGATTTATTCTGGTTCTTGGTTATTGATGGCTGACGTTTCTGGGGCGATTTTGGATTATTGAAGAGCTATTTTACTGCGAGAAAATGGCTCAATTTGTTGAATTTTCAGAAGAAGTAATTAATGTTATTTCTTTGTCTTTAGCTATTGTGTATAGATGTTAAGAAAAGAAAGAAAACAAAATGACCTTTATGTGGTGGTTTTTATGGCTACCATGAGCCGATATTGGGATTGACTCCTCGGGAAGAAGAAGGCCGAGTGGAATAAAAGGTTCTTGTACTACAATACTCAATCCCGCTTTTAAAAGAGAAAAGTTTCATAATATATTACACTTGCATGCATTAAGTATACTTGCATAATTTTTTGTATTCAACAAAAAAAGTTAAAAAAGGAAAAAAATTTACTCCTTTTTACTCTTTTTCATATAATTTTTTTTAAACTTCCAAAACTCATGCTGAACCATATTAAATAATCAATTCTAGGTCAAAAATTCTAAATTTTTTCTCTAGGAAGAAGGTGAATAGTAATTCCGTCACTATTCATCGGGCCATAACTCCGGCATCCGTCAAGGTAAGATCACAAGTTTGGTCTCAAAAGAACCCCCTTCTCTTAGAGAACAATCCCCAGTTGGTATCATCCTCAAATCCATAACAAATTTTCCCATATCTTAAATTTTATTTCGCGATCTACTGTAGCACACAGGTTTTTTTCCAAAAATTTTGAGCGCTACTACCTTCTTTGGATTTCTTCTGTTTCTTCTACATCAATGGGGTTTTGAGGCTGCCCATGGCTTCTCCATCCTCTCCCCAACCTTTGAATGTAGGAGAGAGGAACTCAACATATGCATCGCTATTGGAAAACAAACAATCTGGACAGTTTCCGGCAAAAATCGAGCTAAAACAGGTGGAGTTCGTCCATGGTGAAGCTACGATCAAATTTACAATGGAGGAAGTACATCAATATGCTAAAGAGGAAGGGTAACATCAAGCTTTGGTGATTAAATTCTCACAAGATCAATATGATATGCAAGATATTCAAAAACTGCTGCCTAAACAATTTGGAACTCAAGGTCGCTGCCTCGTCGGATGGCTTGCAAGAACACACGTTTTGATCAGGTTTGATAGACATGACGATTATGTTCTTGCTGCTACAAAATCTGTTAATTACTTAGCAGTTAATGGACAAGAATTACAGAAGCGAATTTTTCCATGGACTATTAGTTTACATCCTAAAGAGGAGACCTCCAAAGCTTTTGTGTGGATATCGTTTCCTAACCTGCCTCCTATGTTATTTGCAAAACAATCATTGCTGTCTATAGCTTCAGCAGTAGGTAAGCCATTGGCAATAGATAAAGAAACACAAGGGAAGTCACGACCTAGCACAGCTAGGGTCAAGGTCGAGCTTGATCTTTTAGGTAAGCTGCCGCAGAATTTGAGGATCAAATTTGTGGATGAAAAATCTGGTAAAGTGATCGAGCATCTTCAGAAATTTGTTTATGATAATCTGCCCCTGTATTGCACATGTTGTAAGCGTCAAGGTCATGATGCAAATACATGTCGTTCGATCTCGAGAAATAATCGGGATAGTGGATTGAATGGTGATATTGAGGAAGCTGATGATCCCACGATTGTGGAAAAATTTCAACGAGATTTGAGACAGATGTTTAATGAAAAGAGACGACAACATGGTGTAATTGAGGCAGTAAGAACAACTGGACCAAAAGCAGTGTTAACTGATGCTAATATCCACGATGATCTCAACAAGTCAGGGATCTCAAAGAATTTGGCTATTGTCCCTGTTGATCATGCCTTAACTAGGTTGTCTCAAGCTATGGCTGAAGAAGCAAGAAATAGATTGTTGAAAATTCGAGGGAATGTCAATGATACCGTGACAGTAGCAGGAGGTATTGATGCATTGGAGTGTAAAGAGATTGCAGCTACTGCTGTTGCAGCTCCCACTGTTGCAGCTACTACTATTTCGAACTTGGCTGACACTTTTGCATTGAATATTATAAGTGATCGAGCTGTCGGTGTGGGTTCATCTGATGCCACTGGATTTGTTGATGTGCAGGCTGGTAAGGAGATTGATCGAGTTGCCTCAGTGGTGGATGGAAAAAGGGCACACTCTGATGCAACAAGAAGCTCCTGCTGATTCTAAATTTGGTACTATTTCATTGGCAGTAGGTGCACGATGTGTCTCACCAACAACTGCTGTTTCATTTCTTGGGGATCGACATATTGGTGGGGATCCTAATTCTACTGTTGCACTTGTTGATTTAATTGAAACACCAGTAGGTGACAAGCATATACCAGTTGAAGGTTATGAACCAGTGGAGAAATCAGCTGCAGCAGGTACAACTGCTACAAATTTAGCACCAAGGCAAGAAAATACAACTTTTCGACGAAAGGACACTGACATTGTGACCAGCTCAAACGTGTTTGAGATTCTTGCAACTAATGAGGGTGGTGGAACTGATGCAATAAGCCTAAATGAAGATGTGATGAACAAGCAACTTGTTCCATGCTCTTCCCGTGGAAAAAATCGTCAAGAAACTGATACTTTAGTCGACAATTTCGATTGCCGCCTAAATGACTCATTGAATACAGGCCAAGCACATAGCGCAACTACTCCAACCGTGCACTTCTCTAGTCCACAAGTGGAACAGATAATTAAAGAGACCCAGGCAGCTATGGGAATGCAAACCAACATGTTTAAACAACAACTAGTGACTTTGAACAAATCAGTTTTTGAAGTTCCTACACAATCTATGGAGTCTTATGGTGAGTATGGAGGAGTTTCTGAGCAACTCATGATATCCACTGGAAACAACAACGAAATTGTAAGACCAAATGTAAAGGAAATGGCCATCAAATCTAAAGCTCCTGATTTCATTCCCAACACTAAGCAACAACATAAAGGGAAAAATAACAACAAAGATAGGTCGATTGGTGAGGCAGCATCAATGCAATCTGGGCAGAAGCAATATACAACAACTACAGCTGATGTTAACACAAATCCTGGGCAGCAGCAGTCCAATGCAAACACGATTGGGCAGAAGCAGTCCAATGCAAACACGACTGGGCAGCAGCAGTATAACGCAAACATAACTGGAGTTGTAGTAATGGTAACTGATATACCTGCTATTTCGTTGGAGGACATAAAGTTGCTGGATGCTTTGGGCATTCCAAAACCACACAAAAGTGCATACTCATCATTCTAAAAAATAACTGGACTGAAGCAAAAATTTTCAGTGACAAACAGACATGAACCATGTAGGGCAAAGACACTGAAGAGGCATGAACCATTGTGGATGGTTATACAAGATGAAGCTAATCAAAAACTTGAGGCCAAATTACGTGTTGCCAGCTCCGACGAAGCAAAAGAAGATTGATTGAATCTTGTCCGGAGGAGGCGGCTAAAACCAGAGATTTCTCTCCAAAGAATAGTGAAAAAAAGAAGGTGACTCAAGAAATAACACTCAGGCAACTACCAATGAGAGCTGCAAAGCAAAAGGGGGTTGCCACCTCTACATCTACGAGGTCCAATAGATAAGAAGAAATGGAGAATTTTGAAGATTATTTGAAGACAATTAAAGAGGATTTTAAGGAAGTTCAAATTGAAGGACTCACAAGTTTGATAAATGAGGGGCAAGACTCTAATTTTTACGTTGTTTTAGTTTATCATTTTCAAAGCATCGTCATTTGTATTAGCGTCATAGAGTGTGTTATAAACTCTATGGCGATCATAGAGTACTTGGTACTTTCAAGTTCCTATTTTTTACATGCTTGCTAGAAGATGAGGGGTTTTCTTTGCCTCAATAGGATTAGTGAGGTAAGGTTTAGCCCGGTTTGTGTTGCCTTGCACCTATGCCTTTGATAAAATATCCATATGGCTCTGAGATTATATGCCCTCGTGAGACTTTTGCCCGCAGCTACACCATGAATCCTCTACATGAGGCTGCAATCATGAGGCAATGTGAGGCGCAGAGGAGTGATTATATAGCCAAGACATATGGGTAATAAAACCGGTGCTAGTATCCCCCTTAAATATATATATATATATATATATATATATATATATTTATTTATTTTCATCTATCAAGATTTAGTTTGAGTATTTCCAAAAGATTATTTAACCTATTTGCAGATCATGTTATAAGAAGGAATGAGTTATATCATTTTTCTTTCTTTTCCATTACCAATTCTCATCAAATATTCACAAAAAGCTGGGTCTGTTTTTGCACGCATATTTTCGAACAGTTGTAATTTTTCAAGTTGATGCCAAATTTCAGAACATAGTAAGCTTTCACGAACAAAATCTTCCCTTTGTCCACCACGGACAACGGGAAGAGTTTGTCTAAAATCGCCACTAAATACAACAACCTTTCCACCGAATAGCATAGTTGTTTCCATTAAATCTCTAAGGAGCAAATCTAGTGTTTCAACCATTTCTTTTTTCGCCATTGGAATTTCGTCCCATACTATTAGTTTTGCATCTCGAATCAACGATGCCAGTGAACTTTGTTTGCTAATATTGCAACTAAAAATTCCATTAACATCAATAGGTATTTTAAATCGGGAATGAGCAGTTCGGCCTCTAGGAAGAAGTGAAGCAGCAACACCTGAACGCGCAGTCGCAAATGCTATAAATCCTATGTGTCTCACTGTAGCTAATAAGGCACGATATAAAAAGCTTTTTCCAGTTCCACCCGGACCATCAATGAAGAATGCTCCGAGTTTATTTGAGAATATTCTATCAAGGATTACATTGTAAGCTCTTCTTTGTTCAATGTTTAGTTTATATGGCAATTGTAAATCTTGTTCATTAACGATAATATTCCTTTCAAAATGTACATCTTTAGCTTCTTTGGCTGTTGCAGATGGTTGAATTTTGCCCTGAGTTAGTTCAATGATATCACGACCCATTGAATGAAGAATATCATTAATATGATTTAGTACTTTGTGACGAATTTCTCTTGTATGCATATTTGGGTATTTTTTGAAATCTTCATACGTCGGGCTTTCAAATTTTTCCCACAACTCTCTTGGATTAGCGGGATTGCAATAAACTAATAGTACAGCAAATAAGTGTCTCAAACTGTGTGGCATTTGGTAACTTAATGCTTCTGACATGGATTCTATTAAATTATTCGGTTTGCCACAATTAGGCTATAGCATACAGGGAAAATAGTAACGCTCATGGGTTAAGGAGAAGACAATTGAAAATTTTCACCTTATTAAATCTGTAGCGGCACCTCTGTATCAAAGTGAACAACTTGAGAAATTTTACCCTATTAAATTTATAGGCGGTGCCTCTGTATCAAAGTGTCACATGTTCTTGGAAGCTGGAAAACTTATTTCCATTGCATATCTTATAAGGCTAAAACATGCGTGAATAACGCCACCCATATTTATTGAACTTTCCATGCAAAGGGCATCAATTTTAAGTGTGTAGGGCATAAATTGGGTGCACTAAACAAAGATGCCTGCGTCTTGCAAATTATATACAGTCCCACATTGAGCATGAGTTTTCAATCTGAAAATTTAGACTTACCTGTATAGTGATCCCTCATTGATAGGTTAAAATTGGAAGAAAATATTTGTGGCCTTTGCTATCTTCTAGTTTCTGTTTTAATATATTTTTAAATGGTCGATGTCAAAGCCAAAGGTCCAAGAGGAGACCAGATGCAAATGTGGCAATATACCAATAACTATTCAAGTAAGATCTGATTCTCTCTACAGAAGCAACCTTGCCAAGAATACACCATATAGTGGCGTAAGGTCTAAGAATATGGACTGTCTACAAACAGAATATATTACATGACGGTCTAGATTATACCATAATATAAAATCATATCTCAATACATTAATCACAAATTTAAATGGTCCAAACGGAAAGAGGGCTTTATGCATTCATGCAAATGAACACAAAATATTTTGATTTTATGCTCATCCATTTTTTTCAACTGTGCATCTTCTCTATTCTATTTGCAGCCCACTATTGGATATAAGGACAATATGGCTGGTCAGTTGAACATGTGGACATGTTTCTTTATATGTGAAGTGACTGCAGAATTATGGAATATATTCCTGAAATATTTAGTTTGAAATAGACAACGCTAAAATCAAGAAAGAGTTCATAGAAAAAGAAGGCAAAAATGTTAGGTGTTACAAAAGCAAAGCAGAGTTAGTCAGTATGATTATATACAACTGTCTAGCATTGTTGTCTTTCTGGTACAAGAACGATTATATTAGGGATGCTATTAATATGCTATATTTTATTAGCAAGCTTCAAAATTAGAAATGAATGTGGTTACTTTTGTTTGTAATATCACAGTACCTACTTAGTGTTGTTATTTAATAAAATTAGTTTTACTCTTTAAACATGATTCTTTTAATATATTGTTTAATATCTTTCTTTCTCTTCTCAGTTTCAGTTTGTGCGCTCTTTTTCTGTTGATCAGTCCTTCTGAAGCAGTCTTTCTTGGTTACTCAGAGGTACAATTTCACTTTCTTTAAAATATCATCCGAGGATATGTCAGACTTTTCACAATACTTAATGCAAAGTGGCTTTAACCCTGCAACTGAGTAGACATGTATTGGCCATTTTCTTGCTCTTTGTTCGTTATCTTTTACCGTCTTCCATAGTATTTCATCTTCCTCTGTTCAAATTTTGCTGATTTATGCATTTCAATAAAAAAAAATATTGCTGATTTGGCTCATGGCCGACACTAAAAGAGGCACAAATAGTCGATTCATATCTATCATAATTCGCCGGCACCAAAAGAGGCACAAATAGTCCAATCATATCTATCACAATTCTACCACAAAAAAATATGAAATGAAGAAAAATTATCTGGTGACTTTAATATCGAACTCAAATTTCTCCAGTCTGGACACAACATAACCCGACAAGCGAAAAGGAAAATTTTAATCACTAAACTTCAAAATTAGCTGAAAAATACAAAGGGGAAAAAAGATGAAAAAATGAGAGGAGAAGATATGAGGAACCATTAAATTTCAAAACTAACAATAATGACCCAAATAGAAGGAAGAACCAAGAAAAAAAGAGGGAAAAAAGTAGTTACAGCTACACTTTAGAGCGAGAAGACAAACATGTGCAATACAAATTTTGAAAGAAATTGAATACTCAAAGCTGAACTCTTGATTTCAATTATCTCCACAAAAAAAAACATTCCCCCAATTTCATTCATCAAAACTCCAACTCAAAAATTTCCGTATCTTCTTGAATATAGACAAAATTTGTCTTTAATTCAGTTTATTTTCATGAATTTGAGGTAAACCTCCATTGCTTAGTGATCTTACCATTGATATAAAAAACATTGTATCAAAAAAAAGAGAAACAACACATAGATAACAACAAAATTCAGTTTGAAGAGTAAGAAATTTACCTGCAAGTTGAAGAGATTTGAGAAGATAGTAGAAAATTTGAGTAAGCTCTGTAACTCCATCGTATACGATATATTATAAGAGAAGAAAAGCGAAGCAACCTACACGTAGTATCTGGGGGAGCGCATAAAAGGGCACGTATAGAGGTGTAACGACGACCCGACCGGTCGTTTTGAGCTTTTTCTCTTCGATCGCCAGTACTCGGGAATGACTTGCCCCGTGTGGTGTAATATGACTTATGTAAATCGTTGGTTTGGGTTTTCAAAGAAATCAAAACAAATTTGGAAGAACAATTCTCAGTTTGTAGCTTGAAATTTAAAATGTTTGACCAAGATTTGACTTGTTTGTATATGATCTCGGATAGGAAATTTTATGATTTGGTTAGCTCTGTTGGGTGATTTGGGTACTTAGGACCGTGATCGGAATGCATTTTGGAAGTTCGTGGAAGGTTTAGGCTAGAATTGGCGAAATTGAGAGTTCGGCGTTTTTCGGTTGATCGGCGAGATTTTGATATAGAGGTCAGAATGGAATTCCGAGAGTGGCAGTAGCTTCGTTGTGTTATTTGGGATGTGTGTGCAAAATTTCAGGTCATTCAAACGAGATTTGATAGACTTTTTTATCGAAAGCATAATTTAAGAGTTCTTGGAATTCTTAGGCTTGAATCCTATATTAAATTGGTGATTGATATTGTTGTGAGCATTCTGAAGGTTTGAACAAGTTTGAACGATATTATGGGATGTGTTGGTACAATTGGTTTGAAGTTCTGGGAGTTTCGGGTAGGTTCCGGGATGTTTTAGGCCAAAAATCATAGCTGTACAGGTCCAGAAGGGTTGCAGGCCTCGGAACCCACCTGCACGGTCCGCACAAAAAGAAGTGTGGCCGCGGTATGTGTTGTGCGGACTGCACAAAAAGAAGTGGGCGGTAGGTGTTGTGCGGCTGTGGTGGAGAACATTTCACTGGTCCTACTTCGGAAGCTCATATCTTTTGATCTACAAGGAATGTGAAGATGAATCAAAAATACAATTTGTAGCACTTCGTGTCTAGTATTCCTATAGCTTGAGCACTGAGGTGCTGATTATGTGGGAAAGTATTTTGAACGTATATGTTCAGTATTGTCCCTATTAATGGAAGTGACGGCTGGATAACTATGTGATGAATATGTTGGTACTGTGATATGTATCTACATGATTTGGAAGCGACCAGAAGGTCTGCTAGAGGATAGAATAACTATTAGGTGCTTGAATTCCATCTTGATTCGGGGTATAGCCCCGAGTTATGGGCGTGTGAAGGATCTTTTCATGTTTCCCAATTGTGAGTGAAGTAAATTTCATGTTGAGGTATGAGTTCAGACTTAGAAAGACTAAGTGACTGCGTACAGTTTATGACGGTGGAAGTTATACGGAAATGTTAGTTAGAGGCAAAGCAGGTGGGTTGTCTCCTACAAAATGTTTTGAGGTTGTACGATCCTTATGTGTCTATTAGAAGATCTCATTTGCGAGTGAAGGATATGTATTGAAATTTAAATTGGGTCGCGTAGAGAGTGGGTGTAACTGTTGCGAGAGTGGAATGTGAGATTTGCAGAAGAGTTAAATTTCTAGATGATCTATGTTTTCACAAGCTTATAAAAGATTTGAGTTTAATCTCACTATGGTATCATGGCATCAATAGAGTATAATCGTTATGAGTTATTGAGTATGTGTTGATCTATGGTTTCATGCCAAGTGGGGGAGTCTGCTATTGATTAGGCGATTGCACGGTTAGGTGCTATGTTGGTTCCAGTTTGAGGCATGCTGGTGAATCAGTTATGGCTTGCGGAAATTGAGACCTAGGATGGCTCGAATAAAAGAAAAATTTTGACAGAGGTTATATTATGCTTCATAGGGTATGAGAATTACAGAATGTCTTGAGTTGTTGGTAATGGATGCTCGGTGCATAGAGTAGGAAGTGGCTTGGTTGTTCTAGGATGATGTTACACTCAACAGTGTCGGAGTGCTATTGAGGCACGGGTGGTTCTGTTCGTTTGGTTAGGCTAATTGCAGTTTGAATAGAGTGAATGACTCTCGAGAATAGTTCTAATGCATTCAAGATTCTACATGTAAAATGGGAAATTTTAAGGTTGTATATGTGGTTAGAAACTGAGTTTTCATTGGAAGATGTCAGTACTTGTGGTATTTTCTATATTAATTATGGAATTCTATGTATCAATATCAGGAAGGTAAAGGTAACGGATTTAGATTCGCAGGAAGTTTTCTCAGAGTAAAGTATTTTGAATGTGGTGCTTTTGGGAATATTTGAGAGAGTATTCAACGGCTTATGAGTCTTGGATGGTGTGGTTTTGTGCTTGGGTCTCGCGTGGTGAGTTTGGGTTGCAAAATTATGGCATTGTAGCAAGAAAAAGTGTCAAGCTGATGGTAGATCAGAGGGAAACTCGAATAGATGGGATAGCATGGTAGTAGGCCAGATCGGTATGGTAAGGATATGATTAGTTCCTTGGGTGTTTTCGAGGTAACGAGTCTCTGCAGATGTTTCACGGCAATTCTTTTGGGTTTTAGTGACATGCGTAGCTCGGTTGAGTTAGAAGGATTCAGTCCTGATGAGTTAGTGTTGTGCAAAAGGAATTCAGGGAGTTCTAGATGGTTTCTATCATAGTTAGAGAGGTATAGGCGTGAGGAGCATGGGATGTATAGTGGTTCTCTTCTAGATGGGATCAATTGGAAGTTCTT